ATTAGTATTTTAATTTTTTATAGTATTTTTAATTTTTATATAAAAGCAGAGACATTATCTATTTCTCCTCTATCTCTCTCACACACACATGCACACATGCGTGCACTCACAAACACACACACACACTCACGAATGAAACCTTAATAGTACAGAAAAGATTATACTTCTTTTAAAATTGCTTTTTAAAGAATATTTATTTTTAAAAATTCAAAGTGATACAACTATATGTATATTTTTCAATTTGTATAATTTGTCCTTATTTACTCAGTAGAATTATTCTTTGAATAGTTACAAAGATTCTTACCACTGGACTGAGAGACAGCATCATAATAATATATGGAGAAAAAATCAACAACTTCAACAACTTCATCAACTTCATCTTGTTTGGATCCACAATTAACTCTCTATGTACCAACAGTCAGGTAATCAGATGCATTGCACTAGGAAAGTCTGCAGTTAGAGACATCTCCAAATTTTGAGGAGTAGTGATGTCAGTTTGAGGACTAAGTTACGTCTGATTCATGCCATGGTCTGTCTGATCACTTGTTAGGTATCTGAGAGCTGAACAATGCATAAGGATGACAGAAAAATAATTGATACCTTTGATACTGTGGTGTTGGAGAAGAGCACTGAACATTGCATGGACAGCCAAAGAACAAGCAAATATATTTTGGAGATGGTGCAGTCAGAGTCCTCTCTGGAGGCAAAGATGAAAAGGCTTTGCTTTTCATACTTTGGTCTTATTGCTAGGATGGGCTATTCCTTGGAGACAGACTTGATGCTCTGAAAGTCAGAAGGTCAGGGAAGGAAAGGATGACCCTCGAGCAGGTGGATTTATATGATTACTACAGCAACGGGTTCTAATATGTCTGGAAGCGTGAGGATGACTCAGGATAGGACAAGGTTCAGATCTATTTGCTCATAAGCTTGTTAAAGGTCATACTGGACTCAATGGACCTAACAACAAGAACAACAACATTCCTATTTAAAGTAACATTTTGTGCTTCAGTTTTTTCCAAGCCTCTTTCACATCTTTATTCCGCAGGCTATAAATCAGAGGATTTAACATTGGAATGACAAGAGTATAAAACAATGAGGTTGTTTTGTCTTGATCCAGGGAATAGGCAGAGCTGGGCCGGAAATACATAAAGAGGATAGTTCCCTGGAAAACTGCAACAACAGTTAAGTGAGAGGTGCAGGTGGAGACAGCTTTGAACCTCCCCTCAGCAGAATGAATCTTTAAGACTGAGAGAAAAATGTAACAGTAAGAGACAAGAACCCCTGAAATGGTACTCAGTTCAATGAAGCCAAAAACAGTGAATAACACCAGCTCATTGACCTGAATATCAGAACAAGATAGGAGGAAAAGTGGAGGTAAATCACAGAAGAAATGGTTGATTTCGTTTGACCCACAAAAACATAAGCGGAAAGTTAAGATTGTATGTAGCAAAGCGTCCACCGTGCCCACCAGGTAAACTCCTGCCGTCAGCATGGATCATACCCTGCTGGACATGGTCACTGTATACAGCAAGGGATTGCTGATGGCCTTGTATCGATCAAAGGCCATCACTGCCAGCAGGAGACTCTCGGAATCCACACAGAGACATAAGGTGAAGAACTGCAAAATACAGCCAAAGAAATGAATTGACCTCTTCCTGCCAAAGATGTCCACTAACATCTTAGGTCCAATTGCTGTGGAATAGCAGAGGTCACAGAATGAGAGATGGCTTAGAAAAAAGTACATAGGTGTTTGGAGCTGGGAATCCACCCTAGTTAAAATAATCATCCCGAGATTTGCTATGAGAGTAATAATATATACAACTAAAAATATGGTGAATACAATAGGCTTGATCTTAGGGTTATTAGTAATCCCTAAGAGTTGGAATTCAGTCACGGAGGAACAATTTTCTTTATCCATTTTTTTCCCCTCTCTCTGTGTTCTAAACGGCTGCAAAATAAGCAAGAAAAAAAAAAAACAGGAAAAAATTTAAGTCTGTGAAACTTCCTTAAACATTCTTTAAGGTAGAACACATTTTATAAACTGCCTCTTAGTACTCAGAAACTAGATATATACAACAATAGAGACATTATTAGATTGTTGAATGTGTTAAAATACTTGAAACAGGCATTTCAGGCACCTCAATTCTAAATCCGTATGACATGCCTGCTATATATATATAGCATTTGCACTCAATCTATTATTGTCGGGAATAGTTTTAAAGAAAAGTAACCCAAAGT